CATTGCTCTCCTACAGACCAAAACTCACAGGATGCCGCCTTTTAACCTTACAAACATCATGTCCTGTGTTTAATGGAATAATAAAAGAAAAAAACAGAAAATTCAGCCTTTGGTGAGAGAAATGCTGGACCCTTCATTGGAACTGATGAGAACCCTTGACACCAGTAAGCAGTGAATCAGACTCCAATTTTATAGATGCTACAAATTACCACTACAAAGTCTCTGTTTGGTTTGCTGTGGTTCCTCACAATACAGGGGCTGTTAGACCGAGATTTCAAAAACCACATAGAAGAATTGAGTAACCTTCTCCTTATGAAAAGATCCATCTAGAAAATGTGAGAGGTGACTCCATAGTCTTACCCAAATTGCTAAGAGCATATTATCATAAAATTAAAATCTAGAGGATGTAAGAATTTGTTTCCATTTTGTTTCCCACAGTGCTCTGAGTTATGATTCATGTAAAGAATATTTCCAAGTGTTAATGAATGAACAGGTACCTATACATTTTCTATATGGCAATGCCAAAGCGTTGCTGAAGGATATACTTAATGAAAACATAAGGAAATTTTTTCAGAGGCCAAGGGGAGAAAGGTTTGAATAATATTTTTTTTTTCCTCCCTTTTTTAGTTATCTCATTCTTCCCTTGCTTAACAACAAAGATTGAATATGAACCTAACAAATTTTAAACTTTCAGGTTTATTCTTCTGTGAGATAGTAACTTCTTTAACATGCCTTCCAGTGTCATATTCAGACTGACAAAAAACATTAGGTTTTCCATCACTGAAGATGCATTCAAGTGAGATGACATTAAAACCCTTGTGTCAACCAGGGCTACCTCCTGCAACAAGACAAGAGCCTGTGTTTCTGCCCAGTGCTGGGCTTTGTGTGCTAGAGGGAAGGGTCTCAGAGATGGGCTGTGGAGCAGGACTTCTCTGCAGGAGGAAAGGAAATTGTGATCTGACCTTTCTGCCACGGTGCTCTCAAAAGCCACCTTCACACATTAGGAACAGCTAATCTATTGCTGGCTATCAGCCAGGATCATTAGGGTTAAATATGCTTGAGCCCAGGATTTAGAACCTATGCTAGCTGCAACAGCTGGAATATTTATTCCATAATAATTCATTCACTCCTAAATCATGACAGACTAGTGTTTCCTTCACCTTTTATGCTGAAACTGTATAACACGCTCAGTTTCCCCATCCCTTGGGTACCTTTTCTATTCCTGATAAAACACGATAAACAGTCTCTTACCTAACCTTGAGTTGATGAGTCCTTTAAAGCCTACAATATATCAGTCTTTCTAGAACTGAAAATGTGGAGAGTACTCACCTGCTTAGACAAACAATCTAAAACCAGACTAAATCTGCAAGTGTTTCTTCCACTACTTAAACTTGATTTAGTTCAATTATTAACAAGGCTGTTACACAATACATGCTATCTTAGTAGATAAACCCAAAACCAATGAATAATCAATGTTAAACAATGTTAAACATTCAATATACCCTGTATATATTATTTAATAGAAAATCAGATTAAACATAGCACTGTTAAAAACTTTTCCCCCTCAAGCAGTCCTAGCCTATTTTTCAAAATACAAAATAAAAAAAAGTCTTCTGTTTCAAGAGTAGAGGACTATACTGAGATAGTTGCAAAAGATTTTTTTATAGGATAATGAAAACATGAAAAAATACAAAGACCGTGTGAGTGTCCTTAGAGCCCTAAAAGCTGTCACGTATCTACTAGTCCCAGACCTGGAACAGGATCTGTGACCAGGCTGATTGCTTTCAGATAGGATCAAAGCAAGCTAAAAGCTGTACACACACTGTTTTACAAAACCAAAATGGAAAAAGTAAATTGTAGGGTCAAAAAGTCAATTCACGGCCTTCTCATTCCAAATATTTCTATTTTTATAACTTGGTTTGGAGTAAGGAAGAACAGCAATTCTACAAATATTCTAACTAGACCTCATGCTGTATTGTGAAAAGAAAGCAGAAACCCCAAATTACACATAGCAAAATAAAGATGCTGTAATTTATCTAATGTTCATGGCAGAGACATGACTATCATCCTCTCTGCAGCAAGTCATTTGAGTGCAACTGTCTCTACACACCTCGGTCAGACACACGAGAAGCAGCAAGAGAAAGACAGCAAGTGGTGCTGCCCTCTCCGCTAGCACTGGGGAACAGGAATGGATCCCACACAGGCCCAGGGCAACCATGGGATTTCTTGCCATGTCCTAAAAGCTTTGCTCCTTCATGTTCCCCTAGTACAGTGCATTTCTGCCCTGGTGTGTTGGGTCTCCATGTATGGCAGGGTTTTTGGTAGCAGGGGAGGGGTTCTACAGTGGTGACCCCTCTGAGAAGTTTCTTGATGCTTCTTTCTGGCTCCAAGTCAGCCCTGCCCCTTTCCAAGGCTGAGCCAATTAGCAATGGAAACTGCGCCTCTGTGATAATGTATTTAAGAAGGAAAACCTGGGAGGAAGAGTAAGAGTTGTGAGGAGAAGTTGTAAGGAGGACACCTATGTGATCACTGAGGTCAGTAGGAGAAAGGAAGAGGGAGGAGGTGAGCTGGTATATCTCCTCTGCAGCCTGTGGTGAGAGGGCAGGTCCACCCCACCCTGCCTCCTGTGGAGGACCCCGCGCCAGAACAGGTGGCTGTGCCCAAAGAAGGTTGGGACTCTGTGGGAAGCCCACCCTGTTGTAGTTTGCTGCTGTGAGGGTTGCAACACACAGGGGGGACCAACACCAGAGCAGCTCAGGAAGAGCTACAGCCCGTATGAGGGACCCATGTCAGTGAAACTTCATGGAGGACTGTCTCCCCTGAGAGGGACCCTATGTTGGAGCAGGGGAAGTGCGTGAGGAGTCCCACTGATGAGGAAGGAGCTGTAGCAACAGTGTGTGAGGGACTGACAGCAGATGCCATCCCCTGTCCCCCACCCCTGCACAGCCTGGCAAGAGGAGGAAAGAAATCTGAGAGTGAAGCTGAGCCCAGAAAGAAGGGAGGGGTGGGGAAGGTGTTTCTAAGATGTAGTTATACTTCTCACTGTCCTACTCTGTTTGTTAAGTGGTAGTGCTGTTGTTGTTTGAATTAAATTGATGCTATTTTCTTCCCCTAATGAGTCTGTCTTTTGTCCATGATCATAACTGGTGAGTCTTTTTCTCCTCCCCATTTCTGAAGGGGAAGGAGTGAGCGAGCGGCTGCATGGTGCTCAGTTCACCTCTGGATATAACAGGAGATCCACCACTTCCTACCTCTCACTAGATAGCTGGCTTGCCAGTAATCCACAAGCACCCTGGTCAAGTTGTAAACTAAAAATGAAGGTTTATGCTGCCGGATAGTTTGCATCCTGCATTAAAGACCGACAGAAAACACCTCTCTTCAAATTGTATCTCCATACTTTTAAAACTTCATAAAACTCTTCTCTACCTTTTTCCCCTGGCTTTATTGTCAGTTGCTTGGTGATAAGCAGATATGTGTGTGACTTTTTATTCCCAATACAATAGAAGAATAGTTATTCTCAGTAATCATTGAGCTACAGTGTAACCAAACTATAAAAAAAAATAAAAATCAGCTGTTTCTCCTGCAAAATGGAACTGAACAATCCCCAGCTACAGTCAATCTGAACTGAACAATCCCCAGCTACAGTCAATCTGAACTGAACAATCCCCAGCTACAGTCAATCTGCTCTCATTGGGAAATTCTGTCCAGCCTGGGCTTACAACTCTTGCTCTCTGGCACCTTGATAACCTCCAGCAACCCTTTACAGGGAGGAACAAACAGATGGGGAAACCGCCTGGAGAGATTTCTAGAGGAAGTGAAAGAGCTTCTCGGAGGGAGGTAGAATGAAGTGGTTCTCTGCTGGGAGAAACTGTCTTGAGAAAAACAATTATGGGTGTGGGAAAGTCTATTAGATCTGAGAAAGAAAATTAACACATCAGTTTCAGAAGGATTACCTTTAGGAAAGGACAGGAGCAAGTTAGAGTAAAAGGGAAGGGAGGGCTGGATCCAGACTTCTCACTTTCAAGGTTTGTTTCTCATATGCTCTGTGAATAGTTTGGTCCACAGAAGCACTAATGTGTTTCTGTTTTAGAATGTCCCAGACACACTACAGCAAAGCAGCATTACATACTGCAGTACCTCATATATCTTTTTCTCTCTCACACAGTTCACAGTTAGGGATTTCACAAAGCATATTTTAAAAAAATATATTTGTCATCTGTGATCTATTAAGCCTTCTATCTACAGTAAGCTAATGAGATTTTTTGAAAATTATGCCAGTTAACAGCTACATCCAGAACTATAGACAGAAAGGATTATACCCTAAGGTGCATTGACATATATAGCACATGCTGTCTGGATTAGACAACACAACAGGAAGAATTTGAGACATCATGGTACTATGCCCAAACAGTATCATTTTCTAGGACATAATCAATAAGAGCATGATCCTTTACCCACACATGTAAAAGGAAAACAATTTTTTTTTTTAATTTTTTTTATTTTTTTTAAGAGTCAGTCAGAAGATCAGCATTGTCTTAACATTGTCATCAGGGACATGGACAGTGAGGTACCCGACAACAGCCTGTTTGGAACACAGTTGCTGATCCCTGGAGTGGAACGTGGTGCAAAGGCTCCTGAATGCAGAACAACGGTGTGGCACAGCGAGTGCGGTGCTGCTCTGCTGAGCACCGACCCGTGTGGTGCGGGCAGTGCGGTGCTGCTCTGCGGTGCCTGAGCCCTGCAGCACAGAGTGCTGGGCTATCGTTCGGTACCTGGGCCCAGCCGGAGCTGTTGGAGATAACCGCATAGCCACTGTCAGAAAAGATGGATCGCAACTGTTGCCATAACATCGATGAAGAAATCATGAACCTTAGGCAAACTTTGCTTCATTATAATACCAAAACACACCTCCTGGTGGAAGGCTACCCACTTCCAAGACTGACCACGCCTCAGCCCCTGCACATGCACAATGGCCTCACTCGAGAATGGTGGAGACTCCTGAGGCAGAGGTAGAGCAAGGTGTGTTACTAAGCATAAAAGATGACTGCTTGGCAATGAAAATTGGAAGTTTCCCCACCAAGGATCATGACGATCGACAACGCAGCATCAGCTGGACCCGGGGCCATTAGGACATCTTGAGATCAGCGGTGGTAGCTATAACCTCTCTCTCTCTCCTCTCTCTAAACTTTACTTTTCTCCTTTCTTTCACCCATCTCTAACTATCACGTGCCACTTCACGGGCAGCACAATAAAGTTTCACAGTTTGATTGATACAATCCCCTCTGATGTTGGTCGCCTTAATTTTGCACTTTCAGGGTCATAGTAAACGAACCATCACAAGTCCATCAAGTGGACTGTGACACCCTGTAACACGGGACAAGAAAACCACCTTTTTTATGCAATGAAATGACACAGGTGTCTGTGGCCATAAAAGATCCAAAATAGACCTGAAGACTGGTGGATTTGCACAAGGGAACATAAAGAAGGGAGAAACAGCAGGCAAGCCACAGATACCCTACCACACAGCTGAAAGCAAGATATGCATATAAAGAGGCTGAAGTAAATGGCCTTTTGTCTGCTGAGTGCATGGATAAAGTGGGAAGAAAACGTTTGAAGCAGACACCTATTAATTCTTCTGTGCTCCAAGGAGGACTTGCTGCTCCACAGCTGTGTGCCGTACAGGGAAAACACTGTAAGCCCAGGCCAAAATGTCAGTAAAAGCCAGGGGTGGTGGGCTGGAAGATCAAAAATGCTGCAGGGGGAGGTGTGCACTATAAGCAGCCATCCCTTTGGAGCAGGCACAGAGCTCTGAAGGAAGCCTGCTCTGAGACCCACTGTGGGAATGCCACTGAGACCATACCCAGTCATCTCTTTGGAGATCACACATCCTTCTCCACACACTGCCACCGCCAGAGGGACAGCAATAGGCTCTTCTCAGTGAGGGGACTCACCAAGCCTGGGTACTGAGCAATGTTTAATCCTATTTTTACTCTTAAACAGATGTTGCCTTGCTTGCAGAACTGCCTCGTGGGCAGTTTGAGAGGGCAGGAAAACAAGCAGAAAAACACTTGAAATTATTCATGTTTTCCATAAATTCGTTTGAATGTTTCATTCTGGTAATTCTTCATTCTGAGGAGCTAGCAAAGCTGTAACCCAGTGCAGGAACCTAGCTACCAGGTTAAAACAGGTATTTGAGTCAAATTGCTGGCAGTCTTTTTCCCTCTCAGTAGAAAATAACATCTCAGGTGTTCCTGGGTGTACTTATCATAGATGTATGTTGCATCTGTTCTGTGTGGCCAGCTCAGTTATCAATACTTTAGATGCATCTCTGTGGGTTATCAAGTACTAACTTTGTCCTAAAGTAATTTTAAAATCTGTTTAAATTATTATATTATGAATGTTATTATCTTTTAATTATGTATCCAACAAGTCACTAGGTTCTGGCAGCTTCTCATTTTCATTAGCAAAAAATAATTCAAAATTAAAAAATCTTCTTCCAGTCATGGAGAGCCTCCACTGGTCCTCCACCACCAGGCTTTGCCTGGTACCTTCCACACCTCTGATCAAATGCAGCATTTCCACTTCACTTGTTCTTCTTGATTTAGACTGACTGAATTGCTTTTAATCTCTCTGTGGGGTGTGATCCTGTGAAATGTTTTATGACCACATAAGGATGAAAGAGAAGTTGGTCTTCTCTGGTTTACAGCTGGGGCCAGGGCAGCAAGAAATCTTTACCTCTCCAGCTCACAGTACATAAAAAAGCATGGGAAGATTTGCAGCCCACTCTGTGCTGCGTGGTGTTTTTTGTCTCTCCATGCTTTGGAAGGATGTATAGGTAAGCAGCGAGCTCTGAAATAGCAGATGGACTCTGGAACAGACTGAGACTTCTCTTGTCTGCTTGGTCTATTGCCTCTGGAGGAACTAAAGGATCGCAGGCCAGCCTGGCATCTGCTGATGTCTCCCAAGAGACGAATACTGTTGAGGAAATAGCACAAGATCTTCAACAAATTTATTACTCGCTTCATCCGCTTCTATTAATCTGGATATTGTAATAACATTACTTATGTGTTACCTTATTCCTAGAAATAGCATTTTCTTTCTGCACCCTACCTGCAATGCTACTTTCATAGTAATTTTTTTTATAACGTAGGCAATCTCAAACACAGTTATGCCCTTTTGTGGTTAGAAATGCCATCAAATCATGCAGCATTTACTTAACAATAGGACATACAAAACTTCCAGTCTTACAGACTCACCACAGAGGCTCACAATGCAGCTTCACCATCTAACTCACAATTACAGCCTCTTGCATCCATGGATCACAGGGATCTTGGCACAGCCCAGGTTATTTTACTATGATAATGGTGGGCACAAAGAACCTACACAGAGAATGTATTTGCTACAAACAGTTAATTTACACAGAAAAGTTCTCTGGATTTCAGTAGATACTTTGCATAGGTCTTACACTTTCCTCTTTTTTGCCAGTTTCAATGAGTCCAGAAAACAGTAGTAAGTAAATTACGAAGTGGCAAGCTTTTGCCACATTCCACTCCCAAGGCACAACCTCATTACTCAGAGAAAGCCTCAGTGCCTTCCGTCCAGATGGCATTCTCTGGTCTGACACGGGGGCGGACACGTTTCACACAGATGTCCGGGGCTTTTTAAGACAGAGTGGGTGGAAGAGTCAGACCAAGCACTTGCTGCTTTTGGCAGGAAGGCACAGTTGAAATGAATGCTCCATATCTGAGTTCCCTCACCTTTATAAAAATACAGTATTAGAAATCTAGAGGTTTTCATAAGGAGTAGAAAAAGGAGATCACAATGAAGAATTTGTAAAAAGTACATACAAGGGCTTACAGAAAAGAGGTGGATTCTCACTAAGAGTCAGACAGGTAATTTCATTGGCATAATTCAAGTCCCTTTGTTCTTCTGGTATGAAAGAAGGGAGTTTTCTACCTTTGGGATATTATTATTAATGTTTACATAGAAGTTAATGGAAGACCACACACAGAGACAAGAAACCTAACCTTTAAATAAATTTACATCCAAAATTTTTGTCATGGCATCAGCAGAAAAAAATTGCCACCTGCAACAGATTTTGATCTTACCCCATTTCAAGAACTCATTTCTAATCAGGATTTGAGTAGTCTGAGCTTTCAACTCAACACATACTGAAAGAACAATTTGGCTAATTTGACCACAAACATGCACCAGCTGAAATGGGTCTATATTAAATTATGTAGTACACTTCATGCACAACATCAGCTTTCTTTTAACCTGTATCCCAAGTGGGTGAAGTGTCTAATAATGTTTAGGGAAAAAAAAGCTTTTAAGAAACAGCAGTACTCAAAAGTGTACAAGTGTCTTCACTCTTATAGAGTTATTTGAAATTTTTATGTATTATTCCTGTTCCCAAAACCAAGCAAAGTGTAAAAGAGTTAAATAATTTATAAAATCATAAAATAATAATATTTTATAGAAGGTATAAACATGTAGGAGTTTAGAATCAAGCCCAGTGTATAAACCCTGCAGATAACATTTATCATCCAAGGAAAATAAATTGCCATGTAAAGGCAGCACCATGTTAAACAATCAACATGGTACAGCCCAGAAATGCATTGTTTAAGAGAACTGAAAAGAACATTGGTCGATTGCATCTTGGTTTTAACTTGCACTAAAATTTGGTTGAGAAGCTGTTATAGCCATAAGAGATAGTAGAATAGCCTAATAATATTAACCAAATATAAAAACTAAAACCACTTTAATAGCTGTGCTCTAGTTGGATATTAAATACATTGGTAGGATGTATCAACAAAAAGCCTGACACTGCAGAATACATGGATTAATGTATGATATTATCTTCCCTTTTTCTATGCTGGTTACCTAAATGTTTTGCCAATTATCAGGCCTAGCATAAAGGACACAGCCCGCATAAAGATGAACTAATAACCAAACTGTATTTGATACAAAAGGGTCAGTACATGGGTGAGTGCTGGGGGTACAAACAAGTCAGTCAGGTTATACATAATCAACATCAATCCCACTGACCCCAAAACAACACCGCACAACCAACAATGGGTGGAACAAATGCTGAAATGCAGTCTCCCATGGAAGGGACAGGAGACAACCGAGTCAACAAGCCAAACACATAAGACCAAGGAAGCCACACAGTGAATCTCTACACAGCCCACATTTACAAAAGCCAGACCTGACTGGAGCCCAGTCCCAGGGAGGCAGAAGGTCCTCCCCCAACAGGAAACTCTGCAAAGCACATCCACCTCACAGACAGACACTGCCCCTTCCTGCAGGTGGTCCCAGCTTTTATCCCCAAGTGGGACACCTGACCCTTGTTACTTAATGAGGGACACCTGGGGCTCCTATACCCAATGGCTCTCCCTGCCAGGCCGGCCGCACCCGGGAGGGAGCCTAAAGGCAAACTCACCCCCTCTTTGTGAAGGGCTGTGGGAATCACCCATATGTCAACCTTAATTTGGGGCTTGGGGTTGAAACCCCAGCATTTCACTAAAATATATCAAAAATCACTGAATAACTAATGAAGTAGTTCTAATTTAATGTTCAAAATGTCCATATTTCCCTTAGCTTGTACATCTGAAACAGTTTAGTGGGAAACAAACTCACTAGACAATTTAGAAAACTGTTATGAAATGTTTACAGCACTAGAACCTGAGTCAACTCTCATTTTGATCGATGATAAAATCATCGCCATCTTCACTATGAAGTAGAGCTGGGCAAACCTATTTCTCACACAGGAAGCTCAATGAAAACCAGAGGCTTGGAGATGTATGACTTGGGACAAATTAAATGGATCACATATTTACTTACAATTCATTAAATACTTTGAAAAAAAGGGAAGGGGATTTTAGAAAGTTTAAAGGTATTTTCATCTTTAAGAAGTCACAATATTATATAGTTATACTTGAAAGAATAGTATATTCAACATATTATTCCCAAACTGTCTCTGTTTGAAATCTATCTACATTTTTAAAATACGTAAAATTACACTTAAGTGGAAAAAAAATATATATTCACTTTGTTTGAATGTATGTAAGTATCAGTCCACAACAAAAAAATGATTTTCTAATCCACCCAGATTATTTGAAATTGTTTGGATTTACAGCTATAATGTTCAGGTTCTTTGGGCTTTCAGATTTTTTAAAAAAAAAAAAAAAAAAAAAAAAAAAAAAAGCAAGCTTCCTAAGTGATGGAGTAACTTTCTTTCCTGTTAGATAATGCATTATATAAATGCAAAATTATGGGCAATAGTAACACTGAAAATAGGTATCAATG